AGGCTCTTTCCGCTGCCTTTCCTTAAGATGGTGGAAAACTAGTGCAAAAATAATGTGGTTTTACTCGAGAATCAACGTGTTGTAGAACAAATAAGCACATATACCGTGATGCCCCTCAAGGCGCATCCCACTTTCAAAAGCAAAAACAGGGCAATCGAAACTATCCTTCAGCACACCCTGTCGACAACACCAAAATTAACACAAACAGCAGCAATAACAATAATAGCCATCAAAATAGTGCTTTTAAACCCCCTTTATCTTATCGCTCGAGCGCGCTGGACGCTCGCCCAGGTAGTTTAGCACATCTTGGTGGGTTAATAACTCCTTGGTTAGCAAATGTTGTGCAAGCTTCTCCATATCGGCCTTGTGCTTTGAGAGCAGATTGTAAGTCTCCTGGTAGACCTCGGCCACCAGCTGTTTGGCCTGCCTATCGTACTCATCCGACTTCTTACTTCCAAATGGCTTCGTGATTCGGGTGCTCTCAGTGCCTGGCGAGGGATACACTGGTCCTGGTGAAAACGCTGCCACGTACATGTAGGCAAGCCTAGCCACCTTGCGTAGATCATCGGAGGCACCGGTGGAGAGGTGGTTGAAGAATATCTCCTCCGCAACGCGTCCCCCAAGCGTCACACACAACGAATCGCGGATCTCCTTTGCGGTTCGGATGCTATTTTCATTCGGCAGGTACTGCGCATAACCGAGCGCGGAGCCGCCACGCGGTACGATGGAAACCTTCATGAGGGGGTCCGCACGGTTGAGAAACCAACCCGCCACGGCATGCCCGGCCTCGTGGTGCGCGACGACCTTCTTTTCGAAAGGAGAAAGCACCCGACTTCGATGCTCGATGCCGGCGAGAACGCGGTCTATGGATCGCTCGAGGTAGGAAAGCTCCACGTGGGTGGAACCTTCACGGGAGGCCAGGATAGCGGCCTCATTGCACACGTTGGCTATATCCGAACCTACGAATCCAGGGCAGAGGTTGCTCATGCGATGGGCATAAGTGTCAATCAAGGCACGCTCCTTTTCAGACTTATCTCGAAGAATTGAGTGAAAATCAAAGGAGAATTCAGAAGCGTATTCATCGCTAATCGACTCACCTTCCCCGACCTTTTCATTCCCCGCGGTGGAGATAACAAGCTGGGTTTCCTTCGAATTTGTATCTACCTCATCACCCCGCACGGATGGCATTGCCGCTTTCTGGCACTCCTGCGAGGATTCGACCGCATTCGGATCTGAATTGCCGCGATCCTCTTGGTTCAGGGCCTCGGAGGTGGTAGTTGGGTTTTCACCTACTCCTGTTGCCGTCTTGGCCCCATCGTCTGGCACTAGCTTCAGCTTGCTCAGATGGACCTTGAAGATATCGATCCTCTCGGATATAACCGGCGAGTCCACGTGAATAATTCGATCAAAACGACCCGGTCGGATGAGCGCGGGATCGAGAGCCTCCTGGGCGACATTACTAGAGGCGAGAACCATCACATCGCCGCGGCTGCCAGTGTTGAATCCATCCAGCTGTGTGAGCAGCTCGTTGAGAGTCTGCTCCTGCTCCTGCTTCTCACCATTCCCCGCACCGCGTCGTTTTAGACCCACAGCGTCGATCTCGTCAATATAGACGATGCAGCGCTGTTTTTTGGCTTCTTTGAAGAGCTGTCGCACGCGTAGGGCGCCCATGCCGACGTAAAGCTCAACAAAATCTGAGCCACAGACAGGGATAAAGGCAACACCACTTTCCCCTGCAACAGCCTTCGCGAGCAGGGTCTTACCGGTACCGGGCGGGCCCAACAGAAGCGCCCCTGTCGGAATCTTTGCCCCTAGCTTCGTGTAGCGCTGCGGGTTTCGGAGGAAATCCACGATTTCGGTGATCTCCTTCTTCGCCTCCTTCATCCCGGCGATATCCCGAAAGCGCGTGCTCGAAGTGGTCTCGACCTTGAATGTCATATCCTTTGGCTTGGTCTTCCCTTTGCCCACCTCCACGGCGTACGAGATGGACTTTCCGATGTGCCGCGACAGGATGATGACGAAGATCGGGAAGAACACATAAGGGACCACCCAGGCGACGACCCCTACCACCGACAGGGCCCGCTCCGCCAGCGGCGCGTCACGCATCACGCAGGGGAATCCCTCAAACGGCGCCTCGCCGGCCTCCGACGCCGCCCCTTTGGCTTTCTCCCGGTCTTTCCCCTTTGTGGTTGCGACCTTATTCTTACCCGCCTCCTCCGCGCTCGCTCTTTCTTTGGCCTTGGCCTTGGCGTAGCTCACACGGAGCTCATCCACGTGGCGCTGCGTATCGGCTTCATTCAGCAGCCCTACGTAGACCCTCCTCCCATCCGTCATCCGGACCTGTGTGTAGCAGCGATAAAAATCCACGCTACGGATCTCACCGGCGTGCTCGTGGAGGTAATTCCACCCGACGTGACGCCCGCCCGGCTGCGCGAGCCACCAAAGGACCCCTGCCAGAACGAACATCCCCAACACAAAGAGGCAGGTGCGCGGGATAAGACGCTCCTCGAGCGTCTCCACGTCCTTTGGAGGGTGGGGGGACGAGACGTCGGGGTCGGAGGGCCCGCCATCGCCGCCCCCACCGCCTGGGCTCACGCCGCCACTCCTCAAAAAGACGTTTGGCGGCCACCAAAGGGACCCCCCTCCCCTTTTCATGTGAGAGGGAAACTCCAAGTACCGCGACAGCCGTCCGTAAGGCCAATCCGCACCAATTGAAACCCCCGCCTTCCCCACCTCACGTGAGAGAACCCTCATGGGTGCGTAGGCCTCCGCGGTGCGCCGGGTTGGCCTTTGAAGGAGGTCCCGAAACCCATCCATGGATAAGGCGGTTGAAGAGGTCTTGCCGTACTGCGTGTAGAGCCGCGAATGGCTAATCGGCAGCGCGGTGATAACGGCAAACTTCGCGAAACGCATACTCCGGATAAGGTGCTCGCCTCCGTTGGACTGCAAGCGAAGAAACGGCGGCCTTATTGGGTGATGAAGTAAAGCAAAATTGTAACTCAGCATTATGTAAATGAGTGTGCGCGTGTTAATAACTACTTCAATGTCGTGAAGGAAAGATTAAATACAAAAGAGTTGGGAAGAACCTTCTTAATTCGAAAGGCATGCAAGTAATAATAAGGCCAAACGATGTCGCGTTTGTCAACCCCATCGAATGGTATCGGACGGCAACCTTGATATTCAGCATCTACAGAATGCATAAAAACATGGAAATTTTGAACTAATTTATTCCCACGCGCATACCTTCAATATACCGTTCCTCAATGATTCCTTAATGCGCCAATAGAACTGACACACACACAAAGTCACTAGTTCGGATTTTACCATTTTAATTATGCTATATGTGGTTTTCCCCTGCTTATGAGTATGCTTATATGGAATCAATATTTAAAAAAACACTTAAAGACACAACTAAAACAAATATTGAAAAGATTATGCTCATGGGCATTATTTTTATTTTTGAATTCCTTAATAATAATATTATATAATAAACTCAATAAGGAACTTTATCATAAAAAGTACATGATTATTGCTCAATTAATTTTCTATCTTTATTTACAAGAGAGAAAACTAAACATTAACGTTCGAATAATACGAACCAAAGATATTATGCCAAATTTATTAGTATCTACCAGGTTTGGTGTAACGCAACAAAACTAAATGATTCCTACACACTGAGACATATACAGGTGTGTATCTTTACAGATTCATATTCCTAATGAATATTTGATATTTTATAATAGGCCCTGTAAGCTAAAAAATATTTATCATAGATATTTCCTATATTTCAGCTAAAGATATATTAAGATGCACTAAGTCAAGATGATATCCATACATGTATATGAGAGGCAATAGGGTAAGCTATATATATATATATATTATCAATTTCCATCAAATATTACACTTGGTCTTTACACATGTAAAAGTCTAGCGTATTTGCTAATGATATAAAAAGGCCTCTCACTGTTTCACCTTACCCTGTATCTTTTTCCTAAGGTGAAAACGTAGATAGTTATAAAAAAAATTAAGACGCATTTTCCCAAGCACTAAAAGATTTCCGTACTTGCTTTCTTAAAGCTTATTGTGGCACCATAGAAGGCGAATAGTCCCTTGTATATGGCTTCAAAAGAGTTAACTGTTAATGGAAATGACAAATAAGTATCTAACACTCCCCACAACAAGATCTCTCTTTAACTTCACCCTCACTTGCCAAATACATCATATAGTGGCTTTTATGGGGATTCCTTTTGCTGGGATCTCTTTCCCTCAAGAAGCTTCTTGTGCCGCAAGTGCACCCAGAGCGATGTGAAAATGCTGCTGAATGCAAAGGCAATGCAAATACCGACGAATGTATTCATGCACTTTCGCTGACCGATGCAAATGCGACCAACTATTGGGTAGTTTGTCGAATGATGATCGTACGACAGGTACCATGACAAGTAATAGAAAACAATCAGCCCAATCTCTCCGGCCAGGAAGCTGAAGCTGTAGTGCATCCCCATGTGGCGGTCAAACATGGATCCGAGAATGTAAAATGTCAATGAATGGCTCATACCGAACATGAAAGGACCAATCAGGTAAGCAACAACGAGAGAATAGTTACCTGGGAGGGCTATCCATAGGATCATGGCGATAAACATGCCAACCGAGGCAACAGGGTAGGCCCAAGTAGACACCATAGGAGTTCCAAACTTTACGTATATCTTATTCAGAATCTGCTCATACGTTCCAACGAAAGTTCGCCCGCCAGCCATGTTAATGCCAGACATGGACGCAAAAAATATATATTCTGCATAAGTTATATTCTTATCCCGCGCGGTAAGCATTATTTTGATGTTCCAGTTCCCCGTCATAGTCATGCCGATGCCCCACATCACAAACGTTGTATAGAACATAAGCCAAACGTCAAGGTGGCAAAGGCTTTTCCAAAAAGAGATCTCGTAGACCGGAGCCAAGAAGCCCTCATGGCCGATATTGATCATCTCGAAGTACGGCGCAGCGTACCTGGACGGCTCGCGAGATGTGAGGACTAAAGGCTGCATCGCCTCATCTGTGTGATTCCACTCATTACCTTGAACATGATTTTCAGCAGCTGGGGTTGAGTTTGAGTTCCCCTCACATATTGGTTCGTGCACACCTGAAGCGTCAGTGGTGTCTCCGGCGGGATGTGCCTGCTCGGAGTTGGGAAGTGTATTGCCTGAACGCTCACTCAGCGGGTTCGGGATTGTGGGGGCGACGTTTTCATCTGAATCTTGGAGGTTGACCTCAATAAGCTCTATCTGATTGGTATCCTCCCGTGGTTGCTGTACTGGCTCTTCGATCTCATATTCCGATCCACGCCTGGCGACCTGCCGCCTTGCTTCCGCCTCTTTCTCTTTTGCGATACGGAAGAAGTTGGTATCACGTTCCGGGTTCCCATCCATACAACGAAGGGGCCATATCAAGACACTTGTGAACGATACCACGATGACTGCACCGATAGAAATGCCGCGGTAGTTGCCCTTGGTCATTTCGTCTCTACGGTAACCCGCGATGATGGCCTGAATAGTTAAGTAAAAGTTCAGCGCGATCAAGCATAGTGTGAAATAAAAAAAGCGGCGTTTGGATATGAGCTGCGACATATACCGATTGCGTATGAGGTAGCGATCCACCTTTTTCTTCAATGTGATTCGGGACCGCTCATACTCCGTCGTCACGTAAGGAGCATCCTCGACGTACCACACCGCAAGTAGCCCGAATAAGACGCAAAAGGCAAACATAAACCACATCAGACGGTCAAAGTGGTTGGGAAAAAATCCACGAAAGAAGCAGGCAAAGAGTGATGCACCGATATTAGAAAAGGTGACCAAAAACCCTAGGGGCTGCCCACGGTCGCGCGGCATGTAGGTAAGTGCGCACGGTAGCGCAGAGACCTGCGTTCCGTAGCAGCCCCAACACATGATCGCGTAAAAAATCGCGGATTTGGTGGGGGTCTGGCTGATATGCCCGGCAAACATGAGCGCGAACAGGAGATTTCCAAGGCTTATCAGGATGGTGCATAATAATATCGGGACACGCGGGCCGAACAAGTCGTACAATAAACCAAAGGGAAACGTAAACATTCCAAACACCTGCCCCGTCAGATATACCGACATCATCTGCTTGACAGAGTAGCGGTATACACCATCCATGAGAAGAGTACCGAAAACCGAGTGCACGCCATTTGTGGAGCCCGCAATAATTACCAAGAGGCATAAAAAGAGAACGCGATAGCCGCGACTTTCGTTGACCTTTTCGTTTGAGATCAAAAGCGCGCCTCCGAAGGAAGAATTCCCATGCCTGGGCATCGCAAGTGAGAGCTCCCTATCCGGGGGTAGTTCTTGTGGGATAATAATATCTTGGTGATCGAAGAAATGACTTCCCTGTCGCGATTGCCCTTCAAAGGTGTGCTGGGGTTCATTATTAACATCATTAGGGTTGTGTGAAGAATTTACAACATTTCGATTCCTCTGTGCGGACACCTTTGCCCGTAGAAAGCTATGGTTACTTGGCATGGAGTGCTTTAAAGAAAAGCTTCAAAATATTAGGTTGCTTTAGTTTTACCAAGGTATTTGACAGATCAAACTAATTGCTTTAACTTCCAATATATAGGCAAAAAGAATTACTGATATAATTATGAGCCCAGAGCTTAGCGTAAGGGAGAGAAGGGATTTGACATTCTATTACATCGCTAAAGTGGTGACGATAGACAAAGAACTTCCCACAGAATGCTATTCTTCCATCGTAGTGAACCGATCTAAAAAAAAGAACATCCCTGGAGTTTACTGCGAGAGAACAAAAGGGGGGCAACAACAACCAAAATAAATCCTTATCACATGAGTTTCTTATAATTTTATTGGGTACACGTTACGTGATTCTCATTCACACAGTCTACACGTAAAATTCACAAAAAAAAGGCGACAAGAGCATATGCATTAAGCGCATCTCTTATGTGTAGTTTCCAACCTCCCCACCGCCTTTAGCAAAAGGGGATTCTTTAAACCTACACATGCGCACTACCTCCTTTTACGACCTCCTCGAGGTCCCCCCCCCCCCGTTTGATTTTCTAGTTCTTTTTTCTTTTTTTTAGTTTGCCACCGCACCAACACTTGGCGGAATTGATAACCAAGCCGGCATAATCAATCCGATCAAGTGGAACACAACCAAGACAAGCGACAACGACGCCAGCAACGCACGCATGCGAGGAATACTCCTGTAGTGAATATAAAAGGAGAAATCTCCATAGAAAAAAAAGGCATTTCCGTGTGCGTATGTAGTTTGCGTTTCCTTTTTTCCCTCCTATTTGACGCCTCTTCCAAATAAACTCATGTCGGGCCATTTTTCCTCCTTTAAAAGACTCGCCATTGCCCTCATCAGAGAGCCCGCATCATTTGGCGAAATGCAAAAACTTCGGAGAAGAATTTCTCATACGATTCTGAGGCGTTTGTGAGGAGCGACAATGCCTCCCGTATTTTCTGATGCTTGTGCTTAGGGTAGCTCGACACGAAGCTCTCGACGAACTCAAACCAAAAAGGTGGGTGTGTTTCGAGGATCGGGTAGATGACCGCGCAGCTTCCGCTAAGCGCACGATCCTGACAGACGATAATCCCCATCGCAACAGACAGCAGCCGCTGCCAGAGGTTCCCGATTGGTGCGAGCAGCTGCGCAATCGCCTCTCGGGCGGCTCGCGCGGTACGAGAAACACGTTTCGGGCCCTTTCCAATGGTACCCACCGCA